GGGGGGATTAGACCCCCTGACTGGTTTTTTTAGTGCTATCCGGGGGCTCCATTACAGAGATTTCCCCTCCCGGCAAGGCAGATGAAACGTTCACTGAATCTGTCCGATGATCGTCACCTATAATATCCTTTCTTTGTGTTGCAGGTTTCTGGTCACATGACCGACCTTCATCACAATGGGGAGAAGTTATTATGTTGATGAAACGGTTCAAAGGTATTTCACGAAAATCCTTCAACAGAAGAAGAAGAACAACGTTGTCACCGGACTTCTCATAGGACATGTAAGTGAAACGCGTAGCCATCGAGAAAAGCGCGTCCTCTGCTCCGCGTGTTCCATCATCGTGTGTGATCTGCGGCTAAACCCGGAATAGATTCCTCCGTATGTTTGGAATCGTTTTCTCGCTGTGTTCAGTTCTCTTGTTTTTGTGAATCGGTTGTGAAGTTTCTTCTCTGGAGATCCCCCCCCATGGACGGCACTTCCTGTTTCAGGCTGACAACCCTAAATCGCCACCTTGCAATGAGCGGCGGCGTTGTCAGCCTGCCGTGGGAGCTCGTTCGCTCGGCTGTCACTGATACGTTTGTGTCCGTCGCTGGCTCCGCGGTGTCGGACATTTTCACCGCAGGGCTCGGAGAACGAACGTCCGCAGTGTGGAAAGCATCCTCTACACCGGGGGGGAGGGGGGGCGGGGATCCTCCGGCTGCGGTGAGACTACAACTGGCTAATGGTGGAGCAATACGCGGATCTCTCCCATTTGCTCTGGTAGTGTGCGGACTACAGAACAGCCCCCTCTGCTGTGTGAAAGTGGAACTTCAGGCGGATATAATGGACACAGATTGATGCAGCTCTCTGATCATTTCATGTATGTTGGAGAGGAAAGCTGTGCAATGACCTGAATTTAACTCGGCATTGGCCTTTTGTAGTCCCTGTACAGCAGAGCTCAGACTGAGGGGAGGGAGAAGCAGCACAAAGGGGCAATCTATTGTGCTGCAGTGCTCATGTGCTAAGAAGAAACATGCTGATTGGAGGAGAGAGCAGTGTGATGGAGAGATGAGGTCACCGCTCTGCTGCTGCTCCTTTTGCTGTCCAATCACACACTGGGGGAGGGACTAGACCTGTAAGGGTTCCTGGACTGCAGCAGAGAAAAATCAGGTCCCCTGTCCTGCCAGACAGGACTGTGCTGTGTGGCAGAGCTGTGTAACCCTCAGGGCTGCATGGACAGACAAGAATGTCATATGTATGCAATCTGTGGATTTAGCTGGATGACGAGCGAGATGTCGGTCCTCCTCCGTGTGCCGGGCGACGTCCATATTGTCTGAAGTCCGGTGACAACGACACTTCCGTCATCCGTCTCGTCTTTCATTTCTAGTGCTCGCTGCAAAGGGATTACATTGTTCTGGCTGTGCAGACCCCGCCAAAGGAAGATCAGTGCCAAGGACCCGAGAGGAAGATCGGCTCATCCAGGCTGGAGGAGATCGACGAGGAATGGTTCTGTATCCACGCCAGTCAGGTACGAAGTCCAGCCTCCCCTTCAGTCTTCTATCTGACCTCCGTCCTCCCCTTCAGTCTTCTATCTGACCCCCGTCCTCCCCTTCAGTCTTCTATCTGACCCCCGTCCTCCCCTTCAGTCTTCTATCTGACCCCCGTCCTCCCCTTCAGTCTTCTATCTGACCCCCGTCCTCCCCTTCAGTCTTCTATCTGACCCCCGTCCTCCCCTTCAGTCTTCTATCTGACCCCCGTCCTCCCCTTCAGTCTTCTATCTGACCCCCGTCCTCCCCTTCAGTCTTCTATCTGACCCCCGTCCTCCCCTTCAGTCTTCTATCTGACCCCCGTCCTCCCCTTCAGTCTTCTATCTGACCCCCGTCCTCCCCTTCAGTCTTCTATCTGACCCCCGTCCTCCCCTTCAGTCTTCTATCTGACCCCCGTCCTCCCCTTCAGTCTTCTATCTGACCCCCGTCCTCCCCTTCAGTCTTCTATCTGACCCCCGTCCTCCCCTTCAGTCTTCTATCTGACCCCCGTCCTCCCCTTCAGTCTTCTATCTGACCCCCGTCCTCCCCTTCAGTCTTCTATCTGACCCCCGTCCTCCCCTTCAGTCTTCTATCTGACCCCCGTCCTCCCCTTCAGTCTTCTATCTGACCCCCGTCCTCCCCTTCAGTCTTCTATCTGACCCCCGTCCTCCCCTTCAGTCTTCTATCTGACCCCCGTCCTCCCCTTCAGTCTTCTATCTGACCCCCGTCCTCCCCTTCAGTCTTCTATCTGACCCCCGTCCTCCCCTTCAGTCTTCTATCTGACCCCCGTCCTCCCCTTCAGTCTTCTATCTGACCCCCGTCCTCCCCTTCAGTCTTCTATCTGACCCCCGTCCTCCCCTTCAGTCTTCTATCTGACCCCCGTCCTCCCCTTCAGTCTTCTATCTGACCCCCGTCCTCCCCTTCAGTCTTCTATCTGACCCCCGTCCTCCCCTTCAGTCTTCTATCTGACCCCCGTCCTCCCCTTCAGTCTTCTATCTGACCCCCGTCCTCCCCTTCAGTCTTCTATCTGACCCCCGTCCTCCCCTTCAGTCTTCTATCTGACCCCCGTCCTCCCCTTCAGTCTTCTATCTGACCCCCGTCCTCCCCTTCAGTCTTCTATCTGACCCCCGTCCTCCCCTTCAGTCTTCTATCTGACCCCCGTCCTCCCCTTCAGTCTTCTATCTGACCCCCGTCCTCCCCTTCAGTCTTCTATCTGACCCCCGTCCTCCCCTTCAGTCTTCTATCTGACCCCCGTCCTCCCCTTCAGTCTTCTATCTGACCCCCGTCCTCCCCTTCAGTCTTCTATCTGACCCCCGTCCTCCCCTTCAGTCTTCTATCTGACCCCCGTCCTCCCCTTCAGTCTTCTATCTGACCCCCGTCCTCCCCTTCAGTCTTCTATCTGACCCCCGTCCTCCCCTTCAGTCTTCTATCTGACCCCCGTCCTCCCCTTCAGTCTTCTATCTGACCCCCGTCCTCCCCTTCAGTCTTCTATCTGACCCCCGTCCTCCCCTTCAGTCTTCTATCTGACCCCCGTCCTCCCCTTCAGTCTTCTATCTGACCCCCGTCCTCCCCTTCAGTCTTCTATCTGACCCCCGTCCTCCCCTTCAGTCTTCTATCTGACCCCCGTCCTCCCCTTCAGTCTTCTATCTGACCCCCGTCCTCCCCTTCAGTCTTCTATCTGACCCCCGTCCTCCCCTTCAGTCTTCTATCTGACCCCCGTCCTCCCCTTCAGTCTTCTATCTGACCCCCGTCCTCCCCTTCAGTCTTCTATCTGACCCCCGTCCTCCCCTTCAGTCTTCTATCTGACCCCCGTCCTCCCCTTCAGTCTTCTATCTGACCCCCGTCCTCCCCTTCAGTCTTCTATCTGACCCCCGTCCTCCCCTTCAGTCTTCTATCTGACCCCCGTCCTCCCCTTCAGTCTTCTATCTGACCCCCGTCCTCCCCTTCAGTCTTCTATCTGACCCCCGTCCTCCCCTTCAGTCTTCTATCTGACCCCCGTCCTCCCCTTCAGTCTTCTATCTGACCCCCGTCCTCCCCTTCAGTCTTCTATCTGACCCCCGTCCTCCCCTTCAGTCTTCTATCTGACCCCCGTCCTCCCCTTCAGTCTTCTATCTGACCCCCGTCCTCCCCTTCAGTCTTCTATCTGACCCCCGTCCTCCCCTTCAGTCTTCTATCTGACCCCCGTCCTCCCCTTCAGTCTTCTATCTGACCCCCGTCCTCCCCTTCAGTCTTCTATCTGACCCCCGTCCTCCCCTTCAGTCTTCTATCTGACCCCCGTCCTCCCCTTCAGTCTTCTATCTGACCCCCGTCCTCCCCTTCAGTCTTCTATCTGACCCCCGTCCTCCCCTTCAGTCTTCTATCTGACCCCCGTCCTCCCCTTCAGTCTTCTATCTGACCCCCGTCCTCCCCTTCAGTCTTCTATCTGACCCCCGTCCTCCCCTTCAGTCTTCTATCTGACCCCCGTCCTCCCCTTCAGTCTTCTATCTGACCCCCGTCCTCCCCTTCAGTCTTCTATCTGACCCCCGTCCTCCCCTTCAGTCTTCTATCTGACCCCCGTCCTCCCCTTCAGTCTTCTATCTGACCCCCGTCCTCCCCTTCAGTCTTCTATCTGACCCCCGTCCTCCCCTTCAGTCTTCTATCTGACCCCCGTCCTCCCCTTCAGTCTTCTATCTGACCCCCGTCCTCCCCTTCAGTCTTCTATCTGACCCCCGTCCTCCCCTTCAGTCTTCTATCTGACCCCCGTCCTCCCCTTCAGTCTTCTATCTGACCCCCGTCCTCCCCTTCAGTCTTCTATCTGACCCCCGTCCTCCCCTTCAGTCTTCTATCTGACCCCCGTCCTCCCCTTCAGTCTTCTATCTGACCCCCGTCCTCCCCTTCAGTCTTCTATCTGACCCCCGTCCTCCCCTTCAGTCTTCTATCTGACCCCCGTCCTCCCCTTCAGTCTTCTATCTGACCCCCGTCCTCCCCTTCAGTCTTCTATCTGACCCCCGTCCTCCCCTTCAGTCTTCTATCTGACCCCCGTCCTCCCCTTCAGTCTTCTATCTGACCCCCGTCCTCCCCTTCAGTCTTCTATCTGACCCCCGTCCTCCCCTTCAGTCTTCTATCTGACCCCCGTCCTCCCCTTCAGTCTTCTATCTGACCCCCGTCCTCCCCTTCAGTCTTCTATCTGACCCCCGTCCTCCCCTTCAGTCTTCTATCTGACCCCCGTCCTCCCCTTCAGTCTTCTATCTGACCCCCGTCCTCCCCTTCAGTCTTCTATCTGACCCCCGTCCTCCCCTTCAGTCTTCTATCTGACCCCCGTCCTCCCCTTCAGTCTTCTATCTGCCCTCCGTCCTTCCCTTCAGTCTCCTATCTGACCTCCGTCCTCCCCTTCAGTTGTACCGGCTCCTCCCCTCTTCCTCTGATGTCACTGCGACTGGGAGCTTCTCACAATGTGCAAAAGAAGCTGCAGCAAGCCAGATAGAGCCCGCCCCTCATTTCCTGGCTGCAGGACGTTCAGCATCATCTAGCAGTTTCCTCCCCAGCCTGGCTCCACCCACTACAGGCAACCTCAGGAGGGGGCGGAGACAAGACCAGTCACCTTACACAAGGAGAGAGAGCAGCAGTGACCGGTCTTTATTACAGGAGGGGGCGGAGACAAGACCCACCCTGTACATAGAGAGAGAGAGCAGCAGTGATTGGTCTTTATTACAGGAGGGGGCGGAGACAAGACCAGTCACCCTGTACATAGAGAGAGTAGCAGTGACCAGTCTTTATTACAGGAGGGGGGCGGAGACAAGACCAGTCACCCTTCACAAGGAGAGAGCAGAAGTGATTGGTCTATATTACAGGAGGGGGCGGAGACGAGACCAGGCACCCTGGACATAGAGAGAGAGCAGCAGTGAGCGGTCTTTATTACAGGAAGCTCGGAGTCTCCGCAGAAATACAGGAAGCAGAATGCGGAGACATGTGACTATTTCCTGTTCACTGTTTGATCCTTTTATTTTGTAGGTGAGCCGGATGCTCCCGGGCGGGTTCCTGCTGGTTGGGGCGTTTCTGATTTCACCTCCAGAAGTTTCCAAGGAATCTCTGAATGTTTTAAGGAAGGTGAGTGGATGTTGGGGGTCGTTGTCCTGTAATAATGACGGTCTTGCAAGGACACTGATGATATGCTGATGGTACATTGTGCATAGATCCAGTTGCTGCATTTTATTCAAACCATAAAATCTTAAAACACCGCCGCGTTTTGGCCCCTCCCCCTTCCTTCTTCAGGGCTCAGATATTATATGTGGTTCAGAGGCCCCAGAAATGGCGCAGTCATTGCGGTTGGTTGTTTTCAAGTCGCCAATGAAATGTTCCCAGGATTGGTTCGGTAAGAAGACGCTCCCTTATCCAATGGGTACCCCCATTTTGTTTGAGAGTTGCGTCATCGCCCCCCAATATGAATCCAAATTATTTTCTTCAGCCATGGAATATTAATTAGCTGCAATGCAGGTGGATCATGGCTGGTGGGAGGAGCCAGCAGGGGGCTGTACATAGCTTCCTGAACACATCACAGCACCCGGCCTCAGTACTTCTCTCAGGATCCGTCAGCCCTGATGCAAGGAGTGGGCCGGCTCTTGGGAGGAGTTATGCAAATATCACAATATATTATTGTATGGATGTTGATCTGGAGGAGTGGGAGGTCCTAAGCGGGTTGTATTTGCATGCAGAGCACCCCCAGGTAACACCCACATGTGACACGACCTGTATCATATATGTACATGTATCGGATCCTTCACATCCTCTCCGGAACTATTCTGACACAATGTATCTTTTCAGCTCATCTTTGCCACAGAGAAGTCTGCAATGAAGAACAAGTTGTGGAATCTGACGGACGAGGATGTCACGGACCGCGTAGCATTGCAAATCTGTTCGTCTACAAACAAGTATGTGCCAACATTTCCCGCAATCAGCTCGTCCTCCCTTCTGATTGGAGAGTTCTGACTCACGGGGGGGGGTTAGTGTTGTCAGACCTCTGCAGAGAGACCACTGCTTCCACACACAGAGCAAGGCTCCTTCTCTGCAGCGTGCTGTCAGGGGTCCGGCTTCTCTACTCAGCATGTGGCCACACAATGAGGAATGACCTGTATACCTATGGCAGGTGAACACCTATATACTGTATGTCAGGACCAAGATCACATGAATTGGGTTGAAATATGGAAAGCTCATTGGAACGTCTACACCAGTGACGTGCGGTACCCCTTGTTCTGGGTGAGGCATTCCCCAGCCTCGCCCCCCCCCAGCACGTCCCGCCCTGCCCCTGCTGGACAAAGCCCCGCCCCCAGCACGTCCCCAAGCTAGTATAAAGGAGGAAGGGAGGAGCTTCCCTGTCCTTCACTTGCTCGTCACTGCTGAGGCATCGAGATCGATGGCCTCAGTGGGGTTTATTTTTTTCCTTTCTTTGATTGGACAGCTTGGACCAATGGCGCTTTACCATTGGTCCAAACCATCCACAGAGCTCGCGCCTATAACACAGAGTAGAGGCTGCGACAGCTCTTGCCTCAGCAAGTTAGGTTACACAAGCAGTGGGGAAGCCTGCTGCTGTGCAACCTAACTACCTGTCAAAAGCCAGATGCAGCGCCGCCTGTAATTAACATCCAGCGCTCCGTCCATGACAGGTGACACAGCGGGGGGAGGATTTCCCTGATGTGTAACCTGATAGAAGCCGATCTGAATGGAGAAAAAGCTGCCAGCTTTAGACTTGAAGCTGACAGCTTTTTCCTCCATAATTCTAGGTGAGGCTCCGCCCCCCCCCCTGCCTCCCGTGACCACACGTCCCTGGTCTATACACATTGCAGGTACATTAACCCCTTCATGGCGGAAGGTAAAAGAAACCTCAACACCTGAGCCCAGTTGTCTTCCTAAAACTGAACATATCTCGTCCAACGCTCGCTGTGTCCCGGGGAATGATTGTTCAGGAGAAGCAGAGCCGTCACTTGATGATAAATAGTCATCACTGTCCCCTGAGATGAGGGAAACTCGGCCAAAACATCTCATAGTACTGCTTGTCCTCTCTGACGCGCTGTCACAGGAGGCTGAGCGAGCGGTGCGGGAGGAGAGCTCCGCCTCCTGTGACAGCACTGGCTGTCTCCGCCCACACATCACTCTGCCGGACTGTGATAGGCGGCTGAGCGGTGTGGGAGGAGAGACGCCGGCCGCTCACATCGCTCTCCTCTCCCAGTACTCACTGTTTCTCTCCTCCCCGATGGGACACAGAGCAGCGCCCAGCGGGGAGGAAAGAAAGCAGGGATGCGCCGATGTATCAGCAGGACAATGGCACTTTCCGCATTATGCCAAAAGTGCAATTTTCGTCCGATATATCGGCGCATCCCTAATTTTATCACATCGTACCGAAAATGTAACCCAGTTCCAGCCTTGATCTAACAATCTGATCCTCATTTATTATTTCCGGACTTCTCTAGAGATACAATGTAACTCACAGGAAAAGATACGGGGGAGGGTTCTAAAACTCGTCATCACTGTGATTGGGTATTGCAGTGATCATGTGATCAGGAGCCGAACAACCCGGCTCCCAGTCATCCGAGACCAGGAGATGTCGATGACGGCTCGGGCTCCGTGCTGGGGGGGGGGTGCGCGATTTGAGACCACCTCTGCAGTGATGCAAGTAGGTGCTACCTCGGCAGGAAGGGGTTAAACAAAAGGTGTACAAAGTTAGCTCAGTTACCTAATTTTCAGTTCATTCTTTTTTATTTTTATTTTTAGAAAGCGGCCACAGCCTGAGTAAAACAAAAAGCCCGTCCACTGCCAGCATGCTGCAGGTAAGGGCCCCTTGCTCTGTGTGTAAGCAGCGGTCTTTCTGCAGAGGTCCAACCCACACTGTGATAGGTTGGGGCAAGAGTTCTGTAATCAGTAGAGGGCATGTGTGTTACTGACTGGAGAGCTGCATGTCTGACTCAGCGGTGGGACCTCGGCAGAGAGACCACTGCTTCCACACAGAAGAATACATGTTTTGAGCGGAGTTGCGGAATTGTATATTAAACGCTGCGGCTGAACAATTTTTTTGTTTCTTCCTTCCAGGGTTGTATGCCGGACGTTCGATGTTAAAGACCCCAAGGTATCACTGATATATATATACAATGAGACGGGGATTGTAGATTGTAAGCTCTTTGGAGCGTCCATAGGTGTCTGTAATAAATGTATCGTGTTTATAATATATCTGAACCCAAGAACAATTAAATGGAATCCATTACAGCTTACCGGGCCAGGAGAACTACGAGGTCAGGGCTTTTCCCCCATAGTTCTCCTTAGGGTAACGGGAGGACACAAACTAGCGTCCTCCCGTCACCCTAAGCTCAGTATATAGGGAGCTGCAGCTCGCGGTATACTGAGACGCCGCAGCCGGAGCGGATCCCGACAATTATGTCTGGATCCGCCCAGCTGCGTGAGTGACAGCTGGCTCTGCCTATCTAGAGGCAGAGCCAGCTGTACCCGCCCCTCCCCCGTCCGTTCTGCCAGTCAGCGCTGGCGGATCGGGGAGGGGGGAATCCAGCCCCTCCCCTGTCACGGCAGAGAGCTCGCACAGGAGCGATAGGTGAGCGAACGCCGGTGTGTGTTCGCTCACTTCCCGATCTACTGAGCCGACCTGTGACAGTCTCATTGTCACAGGTCGGCTAGAACTATGAGGGGAGTAAGAAGCATACACAGGATGTATATAGCGCCAACAGTGTGCGCAGCGCTGTACAATATAAAGAAGACATTACAATCCAAGACAAGATGGTAAGGAGGGCCCTGCCCCTGAGGGCTTACAATCTAAAAGGGGAGGGGCTGTGACAGGGGAGGGGCTGGATTCCACCCTCCCCGCTCCGATCCTCCAGCGCTGACTGGCGAAACGGACGGGGGTGGGGGCGGGGACAGCTGGCTCTGCCTCTAG